CGATTAACTTAACTTTTTGGAAATCTCTTATTTAGCATTTTTTTTTTACATTTTCTATTATATATATATATATATATATATATATATATATATATATATATATATATATATATATATATATAAAATGTGGATCCAGTGAGTTTTAAAAAAATTATGAGAGCTACGAGAAATATTCTCCACCACTCACTACGTCAAGGGTACAAACGTTAAACCCAATATTTTAACGTGACATATTTGTATGTGACGCATGTTCGTGATATGTATTATAGCTTGCATTGATCACAAAAATATATTCATAATATAAACAAATAATTCAAAGTATGTTGATGTTTCTTGCATTGAACACAAAAATATATGACATAAAATTTGAAAAGGCTTCATTTCCTTCGTTTTCTCTTCGTAGACATTACCCTAGTAAATATTCTTTCTATTACGTGCATTTGATAAAAAAAAGAAGCTTAAATCAGTTAACATTTTTTAGATAGTCTTAGTAATTTCCAAAAATAGTTTTTTTTTCCATTTTTGAGCATGAATTTTGGACTCTAGATATAATCAAAACAGACTAATGATTATATATCACACGTCAAAAACAGGGTTAAAATTGAATGAAAAATTAGTTGTTAAAGTAAGATAGTTGGAAGAGAATAATATATGGGTTAAGTGAGTTTTTAACTCATCCCATATTGGTGGGAGAATGAAAAGAAAATGAGTTTATAACTACAAAGTATAGCTAACTTTGTAAGACTCATAGAATCAAGGCTTTCATTTGCACGCACACGTAGGGGGTGCAAATGCTAGCCAGTTTGGCTTTGGGCCACTGAACTTCTGTGTGAGCGCGAGTCCTGTAGTTACGAATGCACTACCAGTTGATCACAAAAGTTCAAAGAGCTTTTTGCGGTTTTTTTCTTTTCGTTTAAAAATTATAAACCTGAAATTAAAAGCCATTAATGACATATTTCGGTTTTGATTTCTTCCGATTCTTGATAGTTAATTCTTTTGGGCATATTTCTTTTTGTTTAAATAGTTATAACCTGTTCTTTTTTTTCTTTTTTCTTTTGGGACATTTAATTCTTGACAATTACGATTTTAAATTAATCATATCAGTTACATTTTGCAGTAAAAATATTGCATCTCTTTCACTAATAGGGTTACATCAAATGATCGAATTTGTAGAGTTCATAGTTTTTGTTTTGTCAACTTGTAATGGTTTGTTCGTAATGTCTTTACTTTGTGTGAGTTATGTTGCGATCTCGTAAGCTTGGTATCCAAACCAAATTGTAATCTTCATATAACTGATGTCCATGATAAGTAATAAAAGTAATTTATACATTATTAAAATTACATATTTTATTGTTAATATTAATGTATGCGTAATAATATTAAATTATACTTGTATTTAACAAAACAATGGTAAATGAAGAAAATATTTTTTATTAATTGTAGTTGTGTTTGGTTAAAAATAGTTGTAATTGTGCTTTTTTAGTATGTTTTTGCTTGAAGTTAATAATAATAAAAGAAAAAAAGACTAGGTCCCACCAATATGACGAATATCATAATTTTACTAATTGCCTATATAAAAATTTATCAATATGTGTAGCCGAAACGATACGGAATAATTAAAGATTAACACGAGCTTAATAAAATATAAAAAAATAAAGACAATAAAATATGAATACGTGACTAATCAAACATAAGTAAAAAAACCCATAGATTATAACAAATATATATTTTGTAAAAAATATAAGAAAAGTTAATTTAAATATTATAGTATATATCAATAAAAAATAAATTGTATGGATAATAGTTAAAAACTGAAATTATATTATTTTAAACATTAATATAAAAAATTGTTTTAAATAAAAATGTGAAAATGTTTGTAAAAGGTGGACGCAGTCATGATACCTTATTCATTAAACCATAATTATTTATTTTTTTATAGTTTTTTGTTTGACTTAATTAGAAGTGGTATTGACTTATTTAATAGTGGTTTAGTTTATGGTGCATTTAGAATCCCGCTGAAAGGTAACTAATAAGTACCTAAAGAACCCAAGATCAATTTTATCAATATAGTTCTTCCACCAATCGATAGAGTATTGATCTTCCACCTATTCATTTTCCTTTTAAACTTCTGTATTATCGGCTTCCAATAGGAAATTCTTGTCATATTTTGGCCAACCGGTAACCCTAAATACGAGCAGACTTATCAGGTTTGCACCCAACCATACAAGCATATTTCAATCCTGGGACAAGGTAAAAACATTGAAGAATGGACTCCATATTGATCATATTAGCCCTGTCCCATTTACCAAAAATAATAACGGTCATCTCCATAAAAAAGATACGAAAGAATATAATTTAGATGGAGTGTGTTTCATTCTAAAAAAAGAACTCTTCATCTATTTAACAACAAATGTAACGGGTAGGATGCTATTATAGTCTATACGCACGCAGGCCGTATCAGAAGATACAGCAGCATGGGCGATGGCCTAGGGCCTCTAAATTTTCAGGGCCTATTTTTATGTATTTACTTATATTATTTTAGAAATAAAAAGTTTTTGGCATTAAGTCATTGCAGGTAGAGGCAAAAAAATAACCTCATTTTTTTATTTTGTCCAAGGCCTCAAACCGACTTGAGTCGGCCCTATGATGGAAAATTTGGATTTAGTTGTCATTTGCTAGGACCAAAGTGAGAAGAGGTATTATCTTTGATAGTATATTCATGATTTGGTTTGTTGGTTTGTGCATAGAAACTCAAAAGTGATTGGGTTAATCAACATCGAAACCAATCATTAACATTATTTTGTAATTGCTATTTTTTTCCTGGCATCTTGATATCTTGATAGCTTAATATATTCAAATATATTTAGAGATGCTAATTTTTTTAACACAATTTTATAGCTTACAACAAGTTTTGATGAACACACACATCTATATATATATATATATATATATATATATATATATATATATATATATATATATATATAAAATGAAAACATATAGTTTATGTTGCTTAATAAGTTTAGGGAATGTCTTATTAAACATGAACTTATAACTTTTTTAAACAATATCATCAATGATTTCATGTAGTCTCGTAATAAGAAATTAATTTAAAGCCACTACGCTACACCCCGTCTCATCATGCGGGAGCATATAGATCCATCACAGAAAACCTCACCGGAGAGGGAGACACCCGAAATAAGCACCACGAGTTGTGAAGTAATCTCGCACTAAATGAAAAAACTTTCACTTTCCATAACCAAAACGAGGAAAGTCTTTGTTTGGTTGCCTGGGATGGGGTAGTTTGGGTTTTTTAAAATAATAATAATAAAAAATAACCGATAACCGAACTGTATTGAAATTTGGGTATTCGGGTATAGGTAATTCGGGTTTAAGGTTGGGTTCAGGTAGTTTAGGTATTACCAAGGTTTAAAAAACTCGACATAACTCCAAGACTTATACCTGCCGCCACATTTTGACAAAATGTTGCCTTAAATTATATATGTATATAAGAATGAATTATAGTAGGATATATATATATATATATATATATATATATATATATATATAAATTATATCTCTATCTATATATATATATATATATATTAATTACATAAAAAAATTGTCGCCTTAAGTCACACCTTACAAACAACATAGCTTGTCGTGGCTCGAAAAAACTTGAAACTTGACATTGCTGTCAAGTCACGTCTAACGTTATTTAAAATCTTGGGTATTATCCAAAAAATATTAATAAAAGCAATAATTAAATAAAAATCAACATGTTACCTAAATTATAGGGACTAATTGGGTAACTATCTATTTAATTCACAATAAAAAATATTAATACGTTTGTAAATTTTTGTATTTCAATTACTACCTGTCGGTGATGTCTCGGGATATAGTCTTTGTCTTTCTATATATTGTAACTAGTTGTGATACCCGTATATTATACGAGTTGATCAATCAAAATAGTAAATACAAATGATTAAACGGCAAGTTTATTTGTTTGAAATTTGAAATAAGTAAAAATTATGAAAAAAAAACATTAAAAAAAACATGAAAAACTTATATTAAAATTATGTGTTTAGTTGTCAAACCCGTGTATTAAATGTACTAATTATAACAAAATGTTAAATACAAAGGTTTACACTGTAAATTTATTTAAAATTGAAATTGAAATTTGAAATTCGAAATTTAAAATTTGAAATCAATATAGTTATTATGGTATGTTTAATTTATAGAAACTAAATTAATGATATATTCAAAAATAAAAAATGAAGTGAAATGACAAAATGTGGATAAGAGAATGTGTGGCAAAATTTAAATTTTTATTTTATTAAGGATAGTATTAGAAACTATTTTGTAAATGTTATAATCATGTTGTATTTGGTTATACCCGGAATTTTATATGCATACCCGACACCCTATACCCAAACTAATTTAATTTCAGAATACCCGGATTTCTAAACCCAAAACCTGATCTACCCAAATTGATAACATGTCGATCAGTTTATTCGGATATCAGTTATTTTCAACAGACGTATCATTTATGTTTGCTTTGGGGGTTCTCCATCCATTCTTAAAGGATGCAGATCTCTTTTAAACCTCAACATATATAAGCAACTCACAATTGCAAAACTATATGCATCATTACATGAAAAGGGAATGAAGTTCATATTTCATAACATAACCAATATGATCCACTCACTAAATGTGTTTCAAAACAACCAAAATGCAGTCGCATGTTTTAAAGTAATTACCGTTTGCTCAAGTATATTAACATACAACTTGAAAACTTCTTAGTAGGAAAGCATGCGAGATTTTTAATTTATAAAAATAATACCAATATTGCAATGAAGTATATCTTTAAAAAAAAATGATTTGACTTTAAACTTGGGTAAATTACAGATAATAGCAACATACTTGACTTTCTTTATCAATATAGACAATGTACTCTATTTTTACCCATAATAACAACAATATACTTATATTTCTTTACACCTTGTAGTTACAATATGTAACTCACAATAACTTGTACTTCACGCTTCAAACTTGTACATAACTTGATATAAATGAGCTTACGATTGATACAACAGCTTTTAACACAATACACAAATAAGAAAGTCTTTTTGATACAAAAATAATAAAATAAAAAATATTACTACAATAAAACTATCACGCAACCAAATATTCTCCATCGCGTCTCTTCATTTAAAGGAGGGCCTGATAGGACCAAAAGCAAACTAGAGGGATGATTTGGTTTACTTTAAGAAAGTAATGAAAATGTCACTGAGGCATTTCACCAAACATTTGGAGGGCATCATATAGATATTCCATGAAACCACAGCAAATCTGTTTAATAATACACAATCATGTTAAAAAGTGTACAAGATTCTTTCCACGTGAATTCGAAGGAAATGGAAGACGCTATCTTAATGATTAAATTAATTAAAATGCTGAATTAAATGAAACAAAGTTTTATATTTAAAAAAATAAAAATCACCTATTTTAGTTACAGACCCAGATGTTTTATTAGTTAGAACTTTCAAAAATCATTTAGTACTTTATTTTGGATCTTGAAGATTATTTAAATTATAAGAAGAGATAGATAATTCGAGGAAAAACCCACTAAGACTTTGTCAAAATTCATCTGGAAATTACAGATTCAAGTTAAAAGTACTTGCTTTTTACCAAGATCCTTCAGTTGATTACAAACTAAGAATAGTTTGGGTTTTGTTAAATTCATATAAAGGCCATTGATATGGCAACAACTCTAAAACACAAAAGCAGAGCAAAAGTAAAGATGACAACATACCTCTTCAAAATAAGTTGATATCAAAGATTTTTCAAACCCGATCAATATTTCAAAGCTCCGAAACTTACCCTGCCAAAGGTATCAATGGCAATGCAAACAATCCTATCCTTCATTGCAGGTATAAGGTTTTGCATTAGATCAACATACGCATCAACTTTAGAGAACTAGGATTTCTCCTCTTCTTTCCTTAACCATTGTTGGCTAGACTTTTGCTTGTTAATCCAATATCATACCAAATGAGTATACATCTGTTTTCTTCCAGATTTTCATCTAACAATATGTTTGCGCTCTTTATGTCACTGTGTATTACTGTGTTGTCTCTGTGTATTTTCATCTAACAATATGTTTGCACTCTTTATGTCTCTGTGTATTACTCTGTTGTGTCCCCTAGACCCGAGTAAAGGTAGTTGAGTCCTCTTGCTGACCCTAAGCAAAATTTGAGGTGCCATGCCCATTTCGACAACACCTCTTGCGTGTGGAATTATGATCAAAGCTACAGTTGCTAACATACTTGTAAACTATAATCATCTCATTGTTTTCAACACAGCAACCAATGAAAAAGATAATGTTTTCATGGTGGAAGCTAGAAATCAACTTAAGCACAATAAGAACATTGTTCTTTCATTGTGAGATCAAGGAGTTTGATGAATGATAACAAGTATAAGGTTTTTCCAACGTTCAAGAAAATGATCACTTATTTCATTAATGGAATACATGTGAACCATGATCATTACCATAATCATCTCATTACATTCATAAGAATAACCAATGAAAGAGATGATGTTTTCATGATTGAAGTTGGAAATCAACTTAAACTCGGCTAGGAAGTTCATTCTATCCTTGATGACCTTTTAGAACAAGGCGTTTGGTAATTGATAGCAACTGTGCGGTTTTTCCAACGCTTAACACAATGGTCAAGGCTTCCATTGATAGCATACTCGTAAACTATAATCATATCATCACCTTCCTTGCAATAATCAATGAAAGGGATTATGTTTTTACAGTGGAAGTCGGAAATCAACTTAAGCTCAATGAGAAAAATCCATCTATTCTTAATGAACTTTCAGGTCATGACGTTAGATAACCGACAAGAGCAATGTGGTTTTGCCGACGTTCAGAGAGTTATCCTCCCTAAACGAAACCATATCCAATGCTTGCTCAATCCTTTCGAGGATGCTATCAATCTTGCCTCGATCTTTCGATGAAAAAAGTATCTTCATCAATGTTTCAAATATTATCATACCAAATGAGTATACATCCGAATATTTCTTGATCCACTGTTCATAATAATTGGGATCCATGTAAAAGTCTGTACCAACATAACAATTGGGATCCCTAATCTCTAAATCAAAACCAAAACCCATATCTCTAATCCAAAATCAAAACGTAACACAAAACCAAAACCAATACAAAGTCCTCTTCTTCAAACTTCCTGTTCATGTATACTTAGTGGAACAGAATCAATACCTTCAATGAAATAAGCTGACGGAGACCAACCAGGCGACGTTGTAGATGTATATCTGCCTTCAGTCAACGGATTGGCAAATTTGTTGAAGACTTCTTCGACATGGCTGTGAGATTCAGGTCGTTGATGGCAAGGAGGGATCCTAATACAACTCCATCTCCTGTTAAAAATTCAAGCTTGAATTCGATTAGGTTTGTGACGATCGGCTGAAGAACTGATTCGGTGGTTAGTTAGGAAGTGTGATGGCTAGGTCGCAGGACGCAGCCGAGAGAAAGAAAGAGGGTTGAAAGGGCAGGTAAACTCTTTAGGTTAAGACATATGATTATATAGAGGATCCAGATCTGATTTTATGTCGTCAGCGACTATTCTAATTAAGGAAATACCGGATCGGATCGCACAAACATAACGGCATTGTCCATGAATCCATGGGATCGAATTTAACCCAAATCACCTGATATCCGCCCCAACTCCATCAGATGGGATCCGGTGTTTGGTGGATCTGGTTTGTGAACCGGGGTGAAGTGTTATTTTTGCTATCGGTTTAGGCAATATTTTAATAAAAAGTTTTTTAGTTGAACCTATGATGATTAGTTTTTAGTTCAACTAGTTTAATTGGTTTGATCGTTGGGTCAACTTGGGTTTTAGAATTTTGATTTTTTTTTTTTTGATTTTTTTTCATTTTACTGCACACAAACACAAACACAAGTTCAATATTAAAAATAGACATAAAATAAGTTTGAACATTAAAATAAACATAAAACAAGTTGTAGATCACTTCAAATATATGAAAAAAAACATATAACGGCAAGTCTAACATCAATATGCATATATAAAAAAAATAAAGTATAATAACAAAATATACTTTTACATGAATACAAACGAATTAAAAAAAAATTCATAATATTTACTTTATGTTTTTATTCAATTTAAGAAAAGTTTAAATAGATGTGAAAAGACAACAAAAGTTTGTTATGTAAAATGTTTCATTTCTATATGTTTTTACTCAATTTAACCGATTTAAGTGATTTGATTTAACCCGTTCAACAAGGTTTTTGAAAAAATCGGTCGGTTCGTCCCGGTTCAGAAATAGACATAAAACCGGTGATAATTGAACTTCTCTCTCCCCGGCTTCCGGTCCAACCGGTTCGACCGGCCGATTTGAACCGGTTTTTAGAACATTGGGTTTAGGTTTAAATTGTAAGATCAGATTAGACCATCCACATCAATGTAATATTAATTATTTTTCAAATTTATAGCATCAAGTTTTGTAATAACCTTACACATCAGTATAATACCAATATCCTAACAAAAATGGATCACACTATCACATTAATAACCATTTTATACATTATTATATATTATATATATATATATATATATATATATATATATATATGAAAAAGTGAATATACCCATAAATACATAAGGTTGTGTACCCTGATTATTAAAACTAGCGTAGTTTAATAGATGTTTTACCCATTTTCCTTATTTTTCTATTACATCGATTCCTTATCTCTCTTCACTGGAAAGCGGTATTACACCTCCTACATTCATTCGCTACACTACAAAAGAACAGTAACCTGCGCCTATTTACGGATTCAGACACCGCCACCGCCGATTCATTCACCACACACCCCACTGCATCAAGAACGAAAATTTCTTCCCTTATTTCGCTCACCCCCAGCCTTCACCTAAATCGTACTCTAGTTGTTTACATTTTGGTTTAAAAACGAAAATTTCTTCCCTCATTTCTACTTTGGAAGTGGGTGGTTCTTTGGGTGGTGTATTATTACATTTGATCGACTTCCAACTCAAGCCAATTTGAATGATATAGGAATTGATGTTGGGTCGATTTTACGAGTTCATGCCTTCCTGTTCCACACAACTATAGCGATCAAGCACATCTGGTTAGTATTTACGGGCATGAAACTGAAAGCTAAGCTTCCCTAGCTAATATTTTGACTTGGTTTCGCTTCAATTTTGATTTCCCACTATGAAATTGTGTTGTCAAATGATATCAAGAGAAAAGGAGTATGTGGTTCAGGTATGGTATTGTAATCATTTAAATGGGCTACTAGGGGAAGAAGATAAGTTGTGCACATAAGGTGCTCGATGAAATGCTCGAGAGAAACTCAACATCAGGTGTCAGTTTGATTTTTTTTCTTTGAATTGTGTTTATGTCTTCTTATTGCTGCTTTTGGTATAGCAGATGCCCTAGTTCAAGGCGGGATGATTGGTGATTTGGCTCTCATGTGCCCTGAATTCATTCAAGTAACTCATCACCTCCTTGTTTTCTATAAACTCCCCATAAAACATTGTCATATAAAACATTTTGAACTCGTTTTCTTAATAATAAAAAATGTTTTTTCTTTTTTTAGTCTTTTCCTAGCCGGAATGGCTGCATCAGGAGCTATAACTTCTGGTTTAAGATTACTAACAGAAGCTATTTTCAATAATTACCAAAATGGCCTCACAAAGGAGCATGTAAAAACTTACTTCCTTCATTCCTTCATAAATCTATTCAAATCCATCTTCACAAACATTAATTTCTAAAGATTATTATTATTAGTATTATTATTATTATTATTATTATTATTATTTATTATTATTATTTATTGCAGTGTTATTCCTATGGATCTCCACACTCTTTGAGTTTTTATGCATCTTTCTGTATGCCTTCATTTTCACTAAGTTACCAATCGTGAAGCACTATCGTACTAAAGCAGCCCTTGAAGGTTCACAAACAGTTTCATCAGATCTTAATGTTGCTGGAATTCAAACAGACATCACCCTCACCCAAAAACTGGTTCATAATTTAATTTTTATTATTTTTCTAAAAAAAAATATCAGTTTTTAGCTGTGCAAATTGCAAGGAATGTCAAGGTACTTTACTCTAATTAGCAATATACGTAATGTACATTGATGTTATTGATTAAAAGAGTAATTACATTGCTATTTCTTGCAATTTGTCTTTTCTAGTTTTTTAATGAAAAAATTATGTTTTTTTTTAATTAAATCTCAGGTGAACAGATTTCTATTTACTTGCGTTGAACAGATTAATTTAAAAAAAAAAGTTCGATACGATGGCCATAAATATGGCTTGAATCTCATTTGTTTTTGCTATCCAACATTAGGGGTATTTTTGGAAATGTCTGCTGATTTATCTTTACTATGCACATGGATCACCACTTTGTTGTGTATTAATTTGTTTGTTTGTTTACAGAAGGTATATTGGGGCATAAAATAACAATTAGACCAAATGCAAAGAAGTTGAGTGCTTATTCATGCAAAGAGAGAAGATGTCACGGCGGAGTTTCTCAAGTAAAGTGAAATCAGCTATTTTCAAAGAGAGAACCTTGAAGAGAAAAAAGATGATCATTTTTTAGAATAATGGTTTGTTAGCAATTTTTTAGAAAAATTGTTTGTCATTTCAAGTCACTTTACTCATTGTGTATTTATATATGCGATTTTTTATGAAGCAAATATCCATGAATGATATGTGATTATTGATCATAATAGATGGTATTTCCACGCTCAAAAAGTGTTATGGATTGAAATAACAGATTTAGGGATGTTTTGACAAAAAGTATATAAACCATGTATTTTGTGGATTGAGCTGAAATAGCAACAAAGTTACATTTTTAACCCAAAATGACAGCATACTTTTGTTTTTAACCCGTAATTGCAGCAAATTTACATTTGTAACCCAAAATGACAGCGTACTTTACTTTTTAACCCGTAATTGCAGCAAAGTTACATTTTAACCCAAAATGACAACATACATTAGTTTTTTCACAAAATACCCTAATACTTTCGTTTTTACACAAAATACCCTCGTATTATGTTTTTTTCAACAAAATACCATCATAATTTCGTTTTTTTAGAAAATAGTATCACACTTTTGTTTTTTCACAAAATACTCGCAAACTTTCGTTTTTTTCACAAATTCCCTCATACTTTCGTTTTTTCACAAAATACAATCATAATTTCTTTTTTTCATAAACTACCCTCATAATTTCGTTTTTTCACAAAATACCTCCATAA